CTTAGTCTTTCATTATGAGATTCAGAGAGAGCATTTACAGTTGTTTCCTCTGAATTTAAAGTAGGATGAGAGAGTGAGTGAAGAGAAGGCTCTCCAACCAGAGGTTCCACTCTGTGCTCCAGAACAGCACTGACAGTATTTCCCAAACCTGGTTCTTGACTATCCTGTAAAGTTAGCGGTATTGAGGACCCACTGTACAACTTTTGTGTGCAACATGCAGTTTGCTCTTCACCTCCAAAATTGTGTCCAATATCTGTCTGATAATACTTGTCATATACTCGGCATTTCACTTCAGCTTTCAATTTAACTCTTTCAGGATTTTTAACTGTTACTTTATTGATTTCTTTGCCATCTTCCATGTGATATATCACTCCTCCATTACTTCCAACAAATTGTTCCGTATAATTTTTTGGTGCCAATTCTTCCAATATTTTTTCTTTAATTTTCTGACTTACTTTGAGCTGTCCATCATACAACTCCACAACAATCTGTCCATCTGATTCACGGGATACAACTATAGCCTTCAGCAGTTTACCAAGGAATGTTTCCTCAAACCATCTAGTAACTCCTGCTGGAATTTTTGTCTCCCTAAGATCTGACAGACAGCATTTAATAGCTTGCATGGGTGTGAACATTAGGTCAGTGGCAGAGTCTGGAATAGGCATCAACTGGTCTCTCTCTACCATATGCTTATTTCCAAAATCCACAAAGTCAACACATAAATAGGATGTAGATTCCACAGGAAAAGCCAAAGCTCTATAAAAGAGACCATCTTCAAAATACCTGGCTATACATAATCGCGTATCGGTGGTATCATATTTCACATTATTTGACATTTTACTTATGACACTAACCTTCTTCATCAACGCCTCTATAGTTGCAGTGTTTCGATTAAGCTGACAATAGAATTTTGAAGGACTATGTATGTGAGTTATATAAACTTCCTCCTCACTTCCAGTTTTTATATTAAAAGATGAGTAGCAAAAACTGTACAGAGAACCCAAAGATGCAAGGTTTCTCAAATCAATATGTTCAGACTGGGTAAGACCATGTTCTCTGAGGAACTCCTCTGCACTAATAAATGGAGTCTGTAAGTCAACTATATTGCATAAACAGTTGGGGCTTACAAGAATAAGAGCATAAATGATGCAAGTCAGTGGTCCTCTACAAGCAGAAATGAAGTCTTCAAAATGTATACGCACTTCTTCAGACCAATTAAGTGAGTCAATCTGTAAGGGTACATTTTTAAGTCCACATCGAAATGCTTGACTTTCCAGAGTAAGGAAATCTGGAAGAACAGCTTGAAGATCTTTAAGTAGAATTCCCGATAACCATAGTCTACAAAAACGACATCAACTTCGTTTGTGGATACTTGCTGCAGAACAGTTGCTCTGTACCACTTCCCATCTTTGGGACATTTAACAACACAGGCAACCTGTCCAGTTTTGTAAGGGCTGGTATGCTCTTTATAGTAAGTCTGAATTTGTTCCATTAAGTTATTTAGCTCTGGCAGTTTACTTCGCAACTGACATGAAAAATCTGCTGGTGAAACAATGTAAGAACACACGACTTCAAAAACAGCTCCTGGTTTAAACACGAACTCTCTATAGAAGAATTTCTTCTCATGTACTGATTTACAGCTTTTAGAGATAGCACCTTTTCCAAAACAGGACAGCACAACAGATTCTTTCAGCACTGAAGGCACACTTAATGATTTTTCCTTCTGAAATATCTCTCTATCTCCAGGTACCTTATTTTTATGAATATTACAGGTGCTCTGTGCTTTTATTTTTTTTTTTTTTAATTTGTGGCGATTCAGGGCTTGACTTTTTTTTGCTGAATTTAGAACAGAATCTGGTGTCTTTTCCCAATGTTCAGCATATCCAGCTTGAACCATACACGTGGCAACATCTCCTTGCTGCAAATCATTCTTATACTGAGCATTAACAATATACTTGTTGTTTTGCTTTCCAATGACATGAAGCAGGAGTAGTTTGTCAAACACAACCTCTTTGAAGAAATCCGTTTCCTTTTTAACCCACACATCATCAACAGGAAACGTACAAGCAAGTGCACAACACACAGCTAAAGCTGGTAAATCAGAGAACTCAGGAAGCAATGTTTTCACATCATAATAGGGTACTGTATCTGTATTTCCATAGTCCAAAAAATAGACAGTAATATTTACATGAAGCACTTCAATGACAACAGCCCGATAATAATGCATGTCTTTGCTATACCGGGCACAGCACAGCAATCCAGGTTCTGGGTTTTTAAGGACCATTTCATCAGCTCCACATTGGTTATATGCATCTGCAATATTTTTCATCAAGGCTTGAAATTCATTCTGATATTCACATGTTTGAATCCAGAAGTCAGATGGATTTATGACATATACCACAAAAGCAGCATGGAAAGAATTAATTTGCATTTCTACCCTTTTGCAGCGGCTTAACAAAGAAATATCCCATTCAGGTAAGCAGTTTTTTGTATGTTTACTTCCAGTACAGTTCTTAAATGAATTGTATCTCTCATCACATGGTTTGTAGTTTACAGCAATACTTGTGATTTTTGTCTCCAAAAGCGAGACACATGCTGCAGCTGCCTTGTTCAGGTTTTCTGGATGCTTAACATTAATTCCAAGATTTTGATTTTGCAGCGTAACATAATATAAGCGTTTAATGTCATTGAATAAATCAACATGGACACATACAGAAGTCTGTCCTATCAAGGCCTGTATAAGTTCTTTCAGCTGAATTTTTATTACTGTTTCATCCTGACTACCAAAACAAGACAGCGCACATGGAAATGAAGTCATTGGTAATGCCATGAACTCTACTTTAAGTTTCTGAACACAACTAGATGGCACAGCTTCAATATTGCCAAAATCCATAAACCAGACTTCCACACGGTCAGAGAGCAGCTGTTTTATCACTCCTCTATGCCATTGTCCATTTTGCCTTTTGGCAGCACAGAGTAGCCCTAAACTATCAAAAGATTTGTTATTTTCTGTACTGATAGCTTCATAGTACAAATGCATAGCTCCTGTCAAATCTTCCAGCTCTTTCTGCCATTTCTGTATCTGACAGTAAAATTTATTTGGGCTTACTGCAACAGTTATTTTTACATTTTCTTTACTGCCAACAGGTACACGTGGAAAGAGATCATCTGGAACTGGCCAAAAATCTGTTGGTTTCTCAGAATCACTGAAAGTAAGCAACTCCTTGACTGGATACTTCTGTTGCAACAACTGTGGCACTCTCTTACAAAGCATTTCTTGAGGAAACGCTCTTAACGTATCTACAATAAGACAAAATGAATCTCCATCAATAGATTTTCCTAACTGCAGTTCAAGAACATCACTAATGATCTTTGGTACTTCTAGAATAAACAGTTGGTATGGTATAACAGCTTTCACATGACCTGCAATCTGTAATCCTACCAGAGATGAAAAATAGTTAATGGCTTTTGGACCCCATTTTTCTCCAAGAGGAAGTATGCTTGCAAAAACACCCAAAACAACCTTTGGAGGCAGCTGAAACAATTCATCGCAAGCAGAAGCAAGATGTGTTTCCTCAACCGCTAGCACTTGCCCAGTGTCCATAAGAAAAGCCTCACACATATTCTCTCTCTTTTCCAGAACTCTTCCTCTATGCCATTTTCCTTCTGTGTCTTCCACCAAACAAGATCCACCAACGTAAACATTATCTTTTACTTTGAATACACGTTGTATTTCATTTTGTAGTATGTAATAGTCAAGCTCACATCCTGCCTTGTATTGACCCTGGAACACTACAACCAAGCATTCAGGATGGCATTCTACGTGAGTTATCTTCAGATTCATATCTACTATGCTTGGTGAGGGAGTCAGAGATTCCATTCTGTCTGCAAAGAAAAGGAGTAACATCAGCCTGATAATTTTCCATATTTTTTCTTTGTCAACTAATTCCTTACATTAAATTTGTTTTCAAAATGCTTTAATAGCATATTATCACACTTCTGGTTAAAACATATACTAAACATTTAACAATGTCATGTTTTATGCAACCGGGATACACTTGACACAATTCTCTTGGTGAAGACATGTTCAGATGACATTTGAAAAAAAAAAAAAAAGTACCCCTGTACTTGCTCTTGTGGCTATACTAATTTTATCGCTTGAGAATAATTCGTAATCAGAAAGCTGTTCCCAGGATAACACAGAGAATTAAAGATTGTATCAGAAAACTCGGGGGGGGGGGGCGCGCACAACACCACAACACAGACATGCAGGGATGCAGGACAGGACAGACATCCAGGAAGATAACTATTTCTTCTCAAAGAAAAGTATTTCTGCTCAAAGAAAAGAAGAGTGGAAAGCAATTCATGTCATTTATACAATTTCTGCTCATCTTACAAATATTACTTACATCCAGTAAATTTAACTGCAAATCTCACCAAAGGAGATCCAATTGAGTGTTTCATTGCACTGCACTTGCAGTTCCAAGGAGAGTTTACCTGTGACAGTATTTCCATTCTGTTTCTCTCTTTCTTTTTAATATGTGAATGACCAGGGACTCCTCTCCTACTCACCCTGCTTTTTCTGTGTAAATCACTTCTTCAAATTAATGACATCTTACAGCTCTGTGCTTTATTGTTTACTTGATCTGGCTGTCTATACACTATCAGGTATAACTGTAGCGTATTTTAAGTTTTCATAATTGTAAGGACATACAGAACACATTATCTATGTCCAATATTTCTGCATTGCCCATCAACTAACAATGTCCCAGGTATGTTTTGTACTGTCTCAACACTCCGATTCTGACAGTTTAAGTATTTTCAAACCCTTCAGATACTTCTCTGACCTTTATCTATAATCTGGTCTTCAAGATCAGCTTTCACTTCCATTCAAATCTGTCAATGGATCTGTGATTTCATATTTTTTAAAAATGCTGTACATGCCCATAATTTAGTCAAGCAATTCTATGAAATAAACCGCTGTTCTAACAAAGTAACTAGGGGCGTACCACATCTGTCAAATGCAAAGACAGTGGATAAACACACAAGGATAGACTGGACAAAGCATATGCTTGATTTATGAATTTTTATGTAAAGCTGAACGTGGAACTTTCAGTTTCAACTGAAAGTTATTAGTGCAAGATCTTTCTCAGCCTGCAAAAAAATCTTCAACAGAACTGCCACGATGTCCTGGTTTCAGCTGGGATACAGTTAATTTTCTTCCTAGTAGCTGGTGTAGTGCTGTGTTTTGGATTTAGTATGAGAATAATGTTGATAGCACTGATGTTTTAGTTGTTGCTAACTACTGCTTACACTAGTCATTTTCAGCTTCCAACGCTATACCAGGTGCACAAGAAGCTGGGAGGGGGACAGCCAGGACAGCTGATCCAGACTGGCCAAAGGGCTATTCCATACCATATGACATCATACTCAGCATATAAACTGGGGTGAGCTGGCTGGGGGGCAGTGATCGATGCTCAGGGACGGGCTGGGCATCAGTCAGCAGGTGGTGAGCAATTGCATTGTGCATCACTTATTTTGCATATTCTTTTATCTTTATTATTGTCTCTTCCTCTGCTGTCCTATTAAATTGTCTTTACTCCCACCCATAGGGTTTACCTATTTGTTTGGGTTTGTTTTTTTTTTCCAATTCTCTTCCCCATCCCAAGGGGACTGGAGGAGGAGGAGCAAGCGGCTGTTTGGTGCTTAGTTGCCAACTGGGGTTAAACCACAACACACAGTAGTTTTTATCACAAGCATACATGAAGTAGCTAGTGATCATACAATCTGATTCAGAGTAAATACTGATTCCTATCATTCTAGTTCCACAAAAACCAAAAATTAATAAAAAAAATAAGCACTCCTACAGCAAAGCTTACCAGAACATCTCCAGCAGGAGGAGGAAAGATACAGGACTTCTCAGAAAACAAACAAACAAAAAAACCCCCACCACCAGCCACCCAAAAAAGCCTCCCAGTAAAAGCAGTACCAAATCCAGATCTGACAAATACCTTCTTAAACAAGCCCCCTTTTTTCACTTCTTCTGGTAATAAAACAGAAAGCTAAATTCTGGCTTTTTTTTTAATTAAAGAAAACAAACTTCAGGAAAGGGTTCTGTCTGCCTAAAAGAAACACCTGATTGTTAGAGAGAATCAGACTTTTGAAGGTGCACCACTGATGCTTTGGGCACTTTTTGGTTTTTCTCATTGAAACAAACTCCTGTTTGCAGAAACACATAACAAATGAAAACAATCTGTGCATCAACATTCGCTTGTCCACTGTCACAGCCCAAATAACAGCATCACACTGATATAGTCACATTTCTACAGTTTAAAAAATGACCTTTTGCTTTTTACTCACCTATATGCCAGTTAGGATTTATTCATTCAGAACACACCTTTAGAAAACTTGGCCTTCTTATTAAAAACTCTGCATCTCTCTACAAGGAAAGATGACAGAAAAATCATGAGAAAAATATATGTAAACAAAATTCTTGTACTACTTCTCTAAATCTTCTTCCTGCCCAACAACCACACCCTGGAAGAGTTCCTCATACCCAGTTTAATTACAATGTTAAGATTTCAAAAAACAAAATCACAAAACTAAATCCACCTGCCTAACACCATGGTAAGGCCATTCTTTCTTCACTGCAGTTCAAAAAACACACCAGTCAGAAGAACACTACACACATAACCTACCACCTACATGCTAAGCAAAAGGCATCACACATTTATTTTTGTTTGCAATCCGTCAGCCACCAAAATCTACACTCTATGATGCACTACTACCACACAAACTTATAGCATAATAAAAGGGCTTTTAAATGCAATCAAATACAGGGGACAAGCGACAGCTTAAGGCATCTGCGCTGCCCCCCAAACCAGCAGCCCTGACCGGGGCTGTCTAACGCCCCAAGCAGCGCTCACCTGAGGAGCAGAGCGCAAAGCCGGGCTCGACAAGGCACAGACCGGCGGGCAGACGCCAGACGCTACCGCCCCCAGGCGAGACTCGAAAGCGATGACCGCCAGCCTCCAGAAGCAGCTTCTTTACCACTCACAAGCGCGAAAGCGACATGTGAGAGCCGTAACTGCCAGAGCACGGTATTTTTTACAGCACCCCGACTCCCACCCAACAACCAACCACCCACCACCACCGCTCGCCCCGCACTGACAAAATGGCGGCACGGAGCCCCGCTCCCACACGCTGCCAGGCAAGGCGCACGCGCTGCAACACTACGGAGACTTAAACGCCTCTTCGGTGGCGGATGGGCCTTGAGGTTGATTGGCGGGAGCGACCAGCCAATCGTTTTTCTTTTGGAGTTGGGCTTTTTTTGTTTGGTGGGTTAGGGGTTTTTGTTTGTTTGTTTGTTTGTTTGTTTGTTTTGTTTTGTTGTTTTTTTTTCCTTTATGTTTGCACTTTGTAGCTGTCTGTTATTGATAAGGTGGTCTCTAAGCTTTGTAAAAGGTGCCAGTGGGTCACTGAATTTTCTGGAGCTATCTAAACAGGATTTGAGAGCTCTTATTCTTTCCCATCATCAGGAAGAAATTCTCCAGGCTGGGAGGAGTACATCTTAACTGGGTGCTAAGAGCTGCTCCCCTTGCTTTTGTATGCAAGTCTGGGGGTGGTTTTTTGGTTTCTTTTTTTTTTACTAAGAATATACCCTTAGTGAGGTGGTCACAATAAGGAAACTTGGTGTGAAGCATAGTCCTACAAATATCAACAGATGCTGGTTTATTTATAACTGATTTTACTCTTGGGAATGAGTTCATATGTGCATAATAGTTTCTAAGGGTTTACATTCAATTTTTACGTTTTTTTTTTCCACTGGTCAGGATTGCTTCATCATAGCTATACTTTGCAAAGTTGGGAGAGAGAAAAGTTGCTTTTGCAATTCTTAGAGATAGTAGTCATTTCCAAATACAGCTATTACATTGAAGTCTGGATAATATAAGTTTAAAGTGATATTGTACCTACTTGAATTAACCCTAAAATTTACAGGAGTTCTTAATTTAATTTTGTAGGTAAGCAGTCATGTTTGTCATGTTTAAGCTTTTTTGTAAGCTACTCAGAAGAAAGGTTGTACAGGGGTATCCCTGATACTTTTAGCTTTATATTTCTGGACAAAATGTCTGGTTTATTCTTGCATTCTTACGTTGGACAACATGATTCCACTACTGGCAGGTTACTTTGGAAGACAGAGTTTTGCCTAGTCTGTTTACTTCTTTAAGAGTAAATAAGAAGACGTACTTATTCTGAACTATAAGGTTGTTTACTTTCTTCCACAATGTAATGCAGTAATGTCCTGTGCATTCCCTCTATACCCCAGTCTTCCCATTTTGAACTTACACAGACACAGGAGATGGCCTCAAGCTGTACCGGGGAGGTTTAGGTTGGATATTAGAAAAAAACTTCTTCACCGAAAGGGTAGTCAGGCATTGGAACAGGCTGCCCAGGAAAGTGGTTGAGTCTCCATCCCTGGAGGTATTTAAAGGAAGGCTAGACGTGGTGCTTAGGGACATGGTTTAGTGGTGGACTTGGCAGCGATAGGTTAATGGTCGGACTCGATGATCTTAAGGGTCTTCCCCCCCAGGTAACAGCAGTATGCTTCAGGGTTTAGACATACATACTTCTCTTTAGGCAGCTCCTCCAGAAGGCCTTCCCACAGAAAACATCTCACCCTCACCAAGTACCTCTTACAGAAGGTGCAAACTTCAGCAAGCTTCTGAAGTCTTACAAGTAAATGAGTCTGTGACATAAGAAGTCTGGAACGGTAAGTAATTTAGCAGCTTAGTATATGCCACACTTTTTTTTTTTTCCTCCATATGACTGTTTACCTGCAGATACTGTGTTTTGTATTGTTGTACTCATTGGGCTTAAATG